TATATATATATATATATATATATATATATATATATATATATATATATATATATATATATACATATGGTGGAGCCGAATACGGTATTCGGATAAGCACGAATAGCGTGTTTTTACCAACACTTATTTCGAACAAATACTTGAAAATGTATTTGTATTCGGGAACAAGAAAAACATCAAAAAGCTGGGTTTCCTCATGAGACCGCAGTGCATGCTAGCGTGAGTGAGTGAGACAGACAGACAGACGTTCAGGAGTCGGGAAACGGGGTGGGGCCGGGGTAAAAGGTGACTGACGCAGGCTGCTGCTCCACACAGCAACAAAGAAGGCTTGGCAGAGCGAAAAATACTTTACTGCATTACAATTTTTGTTAAATAAATTTTTGTATCTGAACTGGGTTCCAGAGGCAGTTTATAAACTTGTAGCGTACTTAAAGCGGAGTTTGATTGGTATATTATTCCATTACGCTGCATTATTGACGTCTGCAATCTGTTGCTCTCTGTTTATGTAAGTTAGCTCTGTTAGCACGGTAATTAAGACAATAGACAATTTTATGCACTTATAGGAGTTTTATGGTACGTTTAAATTACTGTCATTTGCAGACAGCAAGATATATGCTAAGCTAGTTAACCTTAGCATAGCTTCCCGCCACTTCTATGTGAAAGAATTTTACAGTCAGTGGTGCAGCAGATAAAACAGTGATACTGTATGTAATGTGTGCAAAAGGATATCTTTATTATAAATATGTGTAAATATCGCAATATATATCGCAGGGAAAAAAAATATCGCAATGTCAATTTTTTCCAATATCGTGCAGCCCTACCGTACGGCAAATGGAAAAAAAAAAAACTCAGCATTTCTTGGTAACTCAGATGCACTCGCTAGGTAACGTAGCGTCAGAAAGCCGTGTTTGTATAGACTATCCTGTCACAAAATGCACCGAAAATCCTACAAGAAGGTAATAGTTTGATTGTGGTGTTTACATGTTAACACTCTGAGAGTAGAATTTACAGCGGATCTTTCAGTCCATAATATTGTAGTGATGTTAACGTACTGTAAATTTAGTAACCAAATCATTTAGACTATGGTATGTCTTTAAAAACTAAAAGAGTACTGCTGACAATACGAACTAACTTTGCCTCTGAATAAACAAAGAACACTGATCGCACACTTACCAAATCTGTAGAGACAGGACAATCAACACCAACTAGAGCCGCGTGTTGTTTAAAAGGAGATGAGCGGCAAATCTGGATTTCACCAGTTCCAGATGCGAACAGCTCTTGGGTAAAAAAATGTTCCATACAAACGCATTTCTGTTGCGTTTAGTCCCGTTATTCCAGCTGCGCTCTCATTGCGGGAAATGAAAACAAAACCTTCGTTGCAGCACATTTATAAACACAACACTGACTCTAAACAATTCTTGTTCTTCCATTTGTTTTGGCAACACAACATGGCGTGTCTCTGCCGTCTAAATGCTGTAACTAAATGCTATGCTATCCTGCATATTAAAGAAGTTGCACCTCATTCACAATAGAGCGCGCTGATTGGTTTGAACCAAGTTTTTCTCATGAATTAATTCTGCACACTTAGAGACGTCACAATGTACTCGCCGGTACAGACATCCAGTCTCCACACAGGAATACACGCAAGGATCTAATTACGATGACGCAGCTTTAAAAATTCTTTTCAATCCGAAAGAACGAATTTGCTCAATTAACGCAAAAACAACCAATTTTCACTTTTTAGTGTAATATATGTGTCCTATTAGTGTTTTTAGCAGTGAGGGACAAAGATACAACTGTCAACGGACTGGCCCCTGAGCTATGTTTCATGCACACGTACGAAAATTGGCACACACATCAAACCTACAAAAAATCTCTTGAAGCAAAATCTCAAACCCAACAGGAAGTCGCATATTCTTATTCTTACCTTCATCTTCCAAAAAAGTGCCGTTTTTGCCTTTTCCAGGTGTTGTATTTTAACAAACTCCTTCACTAGTTTATTTTCCAGAGTTTTTGATTGGTAGTTACTTACGTTTCAAGTTATTTCAGTGACCCCTGTAGTTTTCTTTCAGTTGGATCAACAATTTTTGTCCACGTTTTAAACTGATCTGTCATAGTTTTTAGTATTAGATTCTGTTGGTTGTCATGTTTAGCTGATGTTGTGTGTTGTGCTGTCTCCTCCAGCAATCTCCTCCATGTTGGCGTCTCTCACTCTGGATCTGAGTCAGTACGCGCTGGACATCGGAAAGGGCATCTCCAGTGAGTGTTCTCAGGATGTTCATCTGAGGTGTGTGTGTGTGTGTGTGTGAGCAGGTTTAATGTGGTGTTTGTGTGTTTCAGGTCAGCTGAAGGCTAATAACCCAGAGCTGATGGAGCAGGCGGTGGCGGCGCTGCAGAATCTGACCCAGCAGTGCAGTGACCCAAGCGCCGTCCAGGACCTCGCCAAACACCTCTTCAACATCCTCGCAGGTCATTTATTAATGCTATTTATACACCTGGAAGAGTCATTACTGTGATCTGTAGCACTTAATTTGACGGTCCTATTTTGCATGTCCCTATTATATACTTTGATGTCTTTTATGTACTATATTAAAGTCAATAAATGTATTTATTATGATAAAGTGCAAACAAGTGAACTTTAAAAGCATGCACATTTCAGTAGAGATGCACGGATACCATTTTTTTAGTCCAATCTCCAATACATTCTGATTATTAACTAATACAAATCTGATCCAAATACTGAGCTGTTTTTTTTTGTTTGTTTGTTTTTCTTTCTTTCATTTCCTTTTTTTTAATACATAATACACTTTCTATAGTTGTGGTAATACATTTAAAAAATATATCTTCTTTAGTAAATAATAACAGACCTATAGGCTTACTATACATGACAGACACACAATCTAACTAAAAACATTATTGCTTGCTGTAAACTAGGCTACATTATTTGATAGGGATGTAACGGTATTGTAAATACCGTCATACCGCAATATTAATTTTTTTCGATATTACCGTAGTCGCATGACTCTGTAAAACTATAGGTCTTCTGAGAAAATTTGCTCAGGCGAATGAAGCGAACGGGAGGTACCGGAAACTACAATTCCCATCAGCCCAGGCTTGGCCATAATCCCTTGCGGTCTGTTGTCGCTACAGATCCAGTAATGCGGAAATGGAGTGTGCTGCTAGAAGCGGGGATGAAAAAGAGCTGCGCGCGTACTGAATAGTGGTGTTGTTGCGCGAGTTCTTATCAGCTGTGTTGTCGCTGCGCGCGTACTGAATAGTGGTGTTGTTGCGCGAGTTCTTATCAGCTGTGTTGTCGCTGCGCGCGTACTGAATAGTGGTGTTGTTGCGCGAGTTCTTATCAGCTGTGTTGTCGCGCGCGTACTGAATAGTGGTGTTGTTGCGCGAGTTCTTATCAGCTGTGTTGTCGCTGCGCGCGTACTGAATAGTGGTGTTGTTGCGCGAGTTCTTATCAGCTGTGTTGTCGCGTGCGTACTGAATAGTGGTGTTGTTGCGCGAGTTCTTATCAGCTGTGTTGTCGCGCGAGTTCTTATCAGCTGTGTTGTCGCGCACGTACTGAATAGCGGTGTTGTCGCGCGAGTTCTTATCAGCTGTGTTGTCGCGCGCGTACTGAATAGCGGTGTTGTCGCGCGAGTTCTTATCAGCTGTGTTGTCGCACGCGTACTGAATAGCGGTGTTGTTGCGCGAGTTCTTATCAGCTGTGGTCGCGCGCGTACTGAATAGCGGTGTTGTCGCGCGAGTTCTTATCAGCTGTGTTGTCGCGCGAGTACTAAATAGCGGTGTTGTCGCGCGAGTTCTTATCAGCTGTGTTGTCGCGCGCGTACTGTAAAGCGGGGACGGAGGGTATGTCGCGTCGCGGGGGCACTTTTGATCATTTTGGAAGGGCACTTCCTATCCAAGACTAAAAAGGGCATGTGCACTGCACAGGTTGAGCCCTGTGTGTGCACGTGCTTGCAAGTTGGGGAATAGGACTAATAATCAGTCATGGGGACTGGAGAAACACAGCACACTGTTCAGATTGATGCAGACATGAGATCTCTATCTCACTCATGGTTTGTCCTCTCAAGTGGGGGAAAGACAATGCACAACGTTACCCACTGCTGTCAACCTGGGCCAAGTCATATCTCTCTGTCCCAGAAACCTCAGTCCCAAATGAGAGGGTTTTTTTCTGTTGCAGGGGACATTGTAAATACCCAGAGATCCCAGCTTTTACCAGATTATATTTATATGATAATTTTCCTTTAAACCCATCTCTATCTAAGTGAGTGAGTGAGTGATTAAATGTTGAATGTGATGAGTTTTCAACAATACTAAATTGAAACTTTTTTTTTTACATGGTTTAATAATTTTTTGTTATTAAAATTGAAGTTCCTGTTTCAAAGCTTACAGATAGATGACTAATTTGTATGTCATTGACACTTTTGGCACTTTTTTGGAGTATTTTCATAAGTTTTGTTTTTTCCTGTAAATGATTCAATAAATATCGTACTGTGACATTCATACCGAGGTATTACCGTACCGTGAAATTCTGATACCGTTACATCCCTATTATTTGAGCATTCCTTAAGACACTGATATGATCTGTTGTGGTCCAGCCATATTGACCCTCAATAGCTGCATTTCCACTGTTGGGCCAGTGCAAGCCAGGGCTTTTATCGGGCCGGGCCAATCGCCCGGGAGGTTGAGCAGTGAGGTCGAAATCATGTCGCGTTTCCACTTGTCGGGCTAGTAGCTTGCAGCGTGTCATGCAAACCCCGCCCCCAGAACGTCCCACGAATCATACGTCACACAACCCGCCCACTTCAGCAGGAATCAGGCAGATAAAGCACAGCACATCATCACCAAACCATTAAAATGAAGACAACAGGCACAAACAAATGACACGTTACTGTAGAGCAGTACATGACATGTCTATACGCACGGGCCTGTGTGTTTTCATTCATTATATTCATTTACTCACCCACCCACTGTTGGCATCGAACATCGAGTGGTCTCGCCAGCACAGGGAGCGCATCATCCATAATATAACACCACAGAAATTCTCCAGTTGTAACTCGGTAGATATTGTATTTTATAACATCCTCGTTTATAAAGACGCTGTCAAACATTCAGCTCAAATGCTCCAGAGAGACCTAAAACATACTCATTTTTCCTTATAGGCTATATGACACTTAATAGGTGATTCCCCTTTATTTAAAGATGTTGCATATTATTCTGTGATCTTAAGGAAAGTGTTTAGTATTTCAGCACATAAGAGCAAGTAATAAAATACAGCCTATATTTCGTTGCGCTCAGCAGCTTTTCACTAATATAGCTCTACGTGTAAATTTCATTTATAAATTTTACCACGTCATACAAGGCATGAACACTTGTTTGAGGACACAGAACACATTTTGTATTTGCAGTTTTCCCCGATGTGTTTGTAAAGCGGCGCTGCGCAGGACAGAAAAAAAGGTTGTCTAGTTTCTGCTTTCACCTTCTGTCATACACCACGTCCACCAAAAGGGTACCATTGGTAGTGGAAACGCAAGCTTGATAAAGGTAACCCGAACCGTACTGTACCTCTCAGTGGAAATGGGCCATAACAGGCTACCTTCACGGCTTTTGTTGGCTTAAAAATTACACACGCAAGATTGGATTTGGAGTGGTACTAGCTGGCCGATACCTGATCCAGCAAAAATGTGCTGTATCGAAGATGATATCGGATACAAGTATTGGATGGGCATATCCCTAAATTTCAGTTACAAAACTATACAAATTATAAAGATTTACCAAAGACTGATGCAAAAAAATAAAATAAGAATCTTATTTCGAACAAACAAAATGCCACGAATAGTACTATTAAAAAAACTAAGCTAAATAAATGAAATCTCATGCATGAACTTTCACGTTCAGATGAGAAAAATAAAAAGATCTCATGCACCTAACCAGAACCTGTTTAGTTTCTTAAAGGTCCAGTGAAATTCAAATCAAGTGTTTTTAGATGTTAGTATCAGTATGTTAGTCTTCAAAGGATATCTAGAAGCGAGTGTGGTACAAAACAGTGACAAAATTCACCTTTAGATGATATAAGACTGTTTGTATTGTGTCATTTCCTCACCCCGCTTTTCATATGATGTGCTTGGGCTCAACCACTCTCACCGGCAAAGCTGAGAAAGCAAAACGCTATTGGCTGCTTTTTTAAAAGGGGAGGATCTACTCTGTCCCACCCTCTTTCAGTTTTTCAGTTGAGATTGCGTCAAATATTGAATAATAAAAATGCACATTTCGAAGCACTTCACGTGACCTTTAACCCTTAAAGACTGAAACAGTCGCCTGTGGCTAAAATCCGTACAATTCAAAGATTGGCACAAAGAAGAGAGTCTCCGCTTTCCATCACTGACATTACATTCATGAACCTTCGGAGGCTCCGGAATCAGTGTGGTTACGTCATCATATTTTGACAACGCTGATTTGACAAAGGAACGCTCGTGGCTTGTGTCTCCGGACAAACCAGACATGATGCATTGATGCATTGTCCCTCCTTCATGCCCAGATTGGTTCAAACTCACTCTCTCTCTCAACCAATAAGCATAGGTTTCGCTTTTGGACCACCAATCAACTATTTGAACAACCTGGAATGAGAAATAGGCTGTACATTTACGCACGGCTAAATAAAGCGCAAAAAAAGTTTTGCATGAAATAATTCTCATCCTAAGTACTTTTGCTTGCACAACAGCACAGAAACATGACAAAACAGTGACACAGCAAAGACGAAGTTCTGCTCTTGCTGTTTTCAAAGGACGCAAATGACGGTGCGGCTGTTTGTCTGCAACGCAAAAGTTGAGAAGCAGCAGGGTCAACACCATATGCTGGCACATAAAACCTAAGGATGGTCCATATTAGCCCCTTTCACACAGTGATACCGGTAAATATCCGGAAAATTTCCGGAACGACTTTACCGGTATATTCAAAAAAGCGCTGTTCACACAGGCGAGGACGTTACGGAAATTTTTCCGGAAAAGAGCATTCACACATCCATCGCAAAATGCCGGTAAATTCTGACATCATTAACCAGAAATGACCTCTAAACGGCTGCGCTTGTGTTTGTAAACATTTGACTACATTACAAACTCTTCGGATGGATCAGTATTGAGTACAACTCTAATGAAAACATAGGGAAACACTTTGATATGTGTGTGTGCTGGCGCTATGGGCGCTCACGGCCACACGCAAAGCTTGAAGGTAAACAAACAACGGATTATCATAAACATTTTATCGATAACTATTTACACAGCATTAAGAAGGAACATAGAAACATTATCTGACTAACATCTAGCAGCTAAAGGTGTTTGGAAAAAATATTCAAAGGCTTTTATTGTCATAAACCGCGCGCACGTGAATGCGTCTGACTGTTGTGATTGGCTAAAGCAGGTGTCTCACGTCAGCACGTTCTAGACGTGGACACGCTTATTACGGCAATCTTCCTTCTGCATTCACACAGCGCAGCATTCCGGCAAATTACCGGTAATGTTACAACTTCTCTTTCCGGAAAATAGCCAGAACGAATTTACCGGTATTTTCAAAAAGGCCCTGTTCACACATACAGACAAGGTCTGTATGTGTGAAAGGGGCTATTGAGTCTATTTTAGTTATGTAACTATTTATAGTATAGTAAATATTTATATCTTATTTTTTACTGAGGATTTGCACCATGTTTATTTGGACTTTGATGCATTATTTCTTATTTTCTTATTTTTTATTTGTTGATTGTAAGTGCTGTTGTTTATGGTAACTGAAAATATATTATTTGGATAGTCAAACTTGCTTCAGTATTCTGTTATTTTGTAACAATCTTTCTGTTTAGTTCATTCCCAAAACTTTTGGGCAAATACATTGTCAGTAAATAAATGCACTAGTTTTTTCCCACTGAAAAACGCCTTAGAATAACATAGAAATAAATTGCTAATTGTTTTTCTTTCCCTAACTTGCTCAGGGAAAGGTGGATGTAGACAATTTATTTTGGAAGTATAAAACATCATAGCATGTATTTCTAAAGAAAAAAAAGGGTTTTGTTTGTAATAACTAGAAAAATCCACTTTATTAAAAACCGTTTTTCTTAAAATTCTGGAATATTTTCTGTCTGTTCTTATGTTTTTGGACCAAAAAATAGTTTAGACTGGACCTTTAAATGATACAGATTGAGGCTTCAGGTTCTCCTGTTTAAAATAATATATTACACTTGTGACTGACTGCTAAAATAACAATAAAACAGCTTTAAAATAATAATAATAATAAAATAAAATAGGCCCATTGGGTGCCCACAAAATACCTCTAGGTCTTTAAGGGTTAAAGTTTTGTTTAATTTTTGATAATGTTTTGCACAGGCTCAGAGGGGAAGCTGACTGTTGTGGCCCAGAAGATGAGCGTCCTCTCAGGTGAATATACCGTCTCTCTTTCTCATATGCCCTTGGGCCCTTTTGCACAGCAATTCCTTTACACTAAATCTAATGGGAGCAATTAGAGGTGTATTAAACCGTTTTAATTCAAAATCATCATGAGGAACTGTTAATAAGACATAAAGAGAAAGGCTTGTTTTACCCCGTTTTAACATTTACTTATTCTAATCATATGCAAGCATGCCTGCACTGATAAAATGCATGAATGCAATGGCATCTTATATTGACCCTCATATTGCATAAGGTCCAAATATAACAGCTTTGAGAAAGAAACCGCTTCTGTGTAGCTCTAAACTGGTGTGTGTCTTTGTGATTGGTAGTTGATTGTGTTGTTTGTTTGTGTTTGTGAATCAGGAATCAGGAGCTGTAGTCATCACGCTGTCTCTGGCTCTTCTTCTCAGTCTCTGAGCTCCAGCGTGGCTGTGATGTTCATCCCATACCTGCAGCAGGAAGGTGAGGCTTTACTGCTTTTATTCTGCTCCTGTTATACTGGATTGAGGATTTGGAGCATTTCTTGAGTTGATGACAAGCTTATGACTGATCAGAAAAATTAAAACTTAAAATATAATATGCATGTTTTATTATTTGCACTTTGTGACCGTTAACTGTCTTTGAGAATTAGAAACGGATGCTTGAATTTCTTAATTGCATGAAATTAATTTACTTTTTTTTTTGTTTTCTGGTTACATGTTTACTACAAATGTTAAATACACACGACAAATTTCAGTTTTAGTTACTTAAGTACATTTTAAGTCTATTTAAAGAGCCCATATTATGGGTTTTTGAAAATGCCCTTCCATGTAGTGTGTGACACAGCTCTAAGTGAAGTGAAATATCCAGCTAAGGCTTAAATCTGTAAGTGTACAGTGTTAAACTGTTGATTCATCTATAAAAGAGTCGACTCAGTGCTTCAAACAAGTCGTCTTGATAACGAGTCATTAGGTGATTCGCGATGACATGTCCACGAAACGCAGCGCAAACCCGGGAGATTTGAAACCTGCGGCCCCGCCATCTAAAGGCTGATTTATACTTCTGCGTCAAACGCCGGCGTATGCTGCGGCACTGACGCATAACCCTTCGCCGTGGCCGTCGGCATCACTGACGTGCACCTCTCTAAAAATGTGACTACACGTCATAACGACCCATAGCGCAAGCTCTGTGATTGGTCGGCTTGGTAGCGCTGACGAGTCTGGGCGGGGCCGAGAGTCGCGTGAATGGCGCGAGCCTGATGCAGCGATTGTTTACAAGTGTGGAGTCCTGTGAAGGAGCTCCGGATGGAAAGTTTTGTTTTGTGTTTACCTCATAGTTAAAGTTGTTGCTCGTCCGCCGGTTCCTGCCTCAAAATGAGCGAGTTTGAGCCACTTGTACATCCCGGAAGTGTTCAGGAAAATCAAAAAAGCAGCGAAGAAACTCGACACAGAGGAGCATTAACACCTCACTGCCAACTAGTGTTTCAGAAGTGTTAATGCAGACCAACAGAGACAGTGCGCAGAAGTATAAATGCACAGCTATGGGCGTTGCATGCGCTGTGGGTTAAGCAGAAGGGTCACTTGACGCAGAAGTATAAACCAGGCTTAACACAGAAAAAAAGCCACACACACACACACACACACCGGTCGAATGAAGTCACGCTGTGCAGATGCATATTATTGAGTCTCTACCCATAGATGAAACCTCAGCATTATAGCCCAGCCATGAGCAGTTCGAGTGCTTCTAGAAACGACATGCTTACAAAGTAGACTTCATCGGCTGTTTGTTAAAGGAAGGATCAGTAAAGTGTACTGATGGACATGTCAGAACAGGGATCGGTTTCTTCCTCCATTTCGCAATTGTAAGTATGTGAGATTAAAGTTGTTGCCTTGTTACTCTAGCTTGCAAATGTATTTAGTTGTGATTTGTTACTTATAACCGCGTGTACTGAATCAGTTTAACTCGCTAAATTCTCATATCGCGTGTAAAGCCATATTGAAAATGCGACGCGTGCCGCTTTGTTTACGGACCTCCGAGGAGGAGGGTAATGTTGTGTCCTCCTCCGAGGAGGGTAATGTGTGTGTGTGTGTGTGAAAAGAGCAGGTAGAGAGTGACGGCTAAGAGATCTCCTCGCCAGTTCTTGGAGTTTTTGCTCAATAAAATAGTTAGTCGTCGGTATTTTCAAGTCCATCGTCTGTATTTACATTCACCCACTGGCAGGCAAAATCCACGCCTTACACTTTGAAGCATGTATGCACTGTGACTACTTTTATATTGTTGATTAGCTGCTGGGCATTTCACTCCGTCTCGCGCTGAAGGCAGTCAGTGTCGACCAATCAAAACAGGCTGTCATCGGTCCAATCAGCGCAGATTAGCTTCGCGCTAAGGAGGGGTTTGGGAACAAATGAATCGCTGAACAATTCATACAGAAGTCGTTGGGATAATTAGGTAAAAATAAATGCAGATTACAAGATAATGAAAGTGTTTTTTGACCTTGCATGCATATTAGACTGCTTTTGGAGACCCTTACAACCAAAATATGACCCTATTTCATAATAACAGGGGCTCTTTAAATCAATTTTTTCCTGCAAAACTACTTGGATTATATGTTTTTAATATTTGTTTTCTATTAAAGCTTTAGATTAGTAACTTTTTTGGTTTAGTTAGCTTTAATACCAAAAACATTTAAATATGAACTTGAAATAAACAAAATTTTATATAGCAATGTTGTATTTATTTTTTATTGTCCTATTTGCTATTTAAGACCTTATAGTGATTTTGTTAGGTCTTGAATACATGGTTTCATTTGCATTAAGCAATCTGCGTAACAAGATTAAGGTTTCATTTGTCAACGTTAGTTAACATAAGCGAACAATGAAACATACGTCTAAAATATCAACGGCAATTTCAGCATTTGTTATTTTGTATCTAAATATTGCATATTTTAATATTATTTATTAGATATGAACTTGTAGTAAGAGTACAGTAGTTATTTTTTAACTATTGTTCATACCCGTCAACATTGGGATGTGAAAATAAGGGATATGCCCACCATATGCCCCCACCCCTTTAAAAAATCCTAAATGACTAAAAATGCTCATTTGGAGCTGTTTCATTGTAAATAAACAGTTAAATTGTCAGTAATATGTTTTATTTCTATTATTTTTATGTAAGAAAAAATAAATATACATTAGCAGCAAATACATTAGCAAACAGTTCAGCTTATTAAAATGAATAGCTATAATAATGAAATAGAATCAAGCTATCGAGTCTTATAGCCGTTTGTTCACTGTATAACGTACACATTCTGATTAAAGAGCAAAAAATCTATCTCTTATTTGTTTAGATTGTTTTGTTTGATTACATTAAATAACAGAGGTGTCTCTTTAAAAAGGCACACATCTAACAATATAATGAAGGCATTCAACTGCTTTCCTAACCTTTTATGCTCAGTTAAGACTAAATTAGTTGTGTTTGGAAAAAAAAACACCAAGAACGACATCTTTTGATATTATTATTATTAATTATGTGTACATGTCTGTTTAAACACGTACCCAAAAGCCAGAATCCATTTGGACAACATCGTCTATTTATCACTGTGGAGCGGGCCAGCTGACAGTCATGCACCATTATATGACTGTTTTGAGGATTGCATAGGAGGTGATCACGGCACCTGTAATGAATAGAAAGAGGAATCGCGCCGTTTTTATATTTATTTCAAAGTGTTTTCGTGCCTTAACAAAGTGAAAGCACAACAGACTCACATTTAAGAGCAAGGGGCGGCCCCTGGTGGTTCGGCGGTATGGGTTGCGTATAGGGAGACTCGGCTCTTTAATGTTTTTGGCCACCCTTCAGAGAAACACTGAAAATACAGGAAAATACCTTTATGGGATGATAGCGGGATAGAACTGTAAAATACAGGAGAATCCCGGGAAAAACGGGAGGGTTGACAGGTATGCTATTGTTACATATATTACAAAAAACACAGTAGTGTACATTTTTTCATGTTAGTCTTTCCATTTCCGTTCATCTTGATAGTTGTAAATGCATGTGGAAGTATTTTTATCAACTTACGTTATAATGTGATAACGTGTTGATGTTAGTTAATAGATTAAAAACTAATGGAAGCTCATTGAACATAGTCTAAAACGATCCTAAATTTTGAGCAGCATAAATGTCTGATAGGTAATGATTGTTTGTTTGTGTTTGTAGTCCACGAGGGGACGCTGGTCCATGCAGTGTCGGTGTTGTCTCAGTGGACGAGCCGCCTGACGCTGGATGTGCCCTCAGAGTTGAGAGACTGGTTTAAAAAAGCCTTCACCCTGAAGACGTCCACATCCGCAGTGCGACACGCGTATCTGCAGGCCATGATCGGTGCTTTTAAAGGTCAGTCGGGCTGCTGGGACGCTTCTGATGGCTTTATAACAGTGCTGTCAATTAATCACGTCTAAAATTAAAGCTTGTATTTACATGCAGTTTTTTATGTGCTGCTTCTACAAGAAAAGATTTTTATACTGAGAGCACTTCGATTGATATATTTTTTAAATGTACCACAAGTTATTTATATTAAATTGAAAAAAAAAATATATATATATCTTATGGTTTATTGTAGTTAATGTCATGTATTTTTATGTACAAAACTACACTGTGCATAAATATATTTAGCAAATATGATATTTTGAATGCAATTTTTATATTTTGTTTGTTTATTACTTTAAAAAATCATATTTTATAATATATTTTGTATGCTTTTATTGCAATTAATCATTTGACAATACTATAAAATAATAATAATAGTAACTTATATACCGAAAAATTTAATTTGTCCATTTTAATATCCTCTTTTATTGAATTATGAAGTTTATAGTAATATTATGTAGTTTTTTTTAAGGTTGCACTTTATTTTAGGTCACATTAATTACGATGTATTTACATCAATAAATAAGTTCATATTGTGTTGAGAAGGCTTATGTAGCTATTAAGTTGGAATAATGGTTTGGGACACATTTGGTGGTATGGGTATGGTTAAAGGCTAACAGTGTTCTTATGAATGTAGTTACAGAAGTTAGGTATATATGTGATTACATGCAAATTGTTTAAAAACATAATTGCAATATACACGAACCAGCCATTTTATTAGGTACGCCTTACTAGTACCGTGTTGGACCATTTTTTGCCTTCAGAACTGCCTTAATCCTTCATGGCAGAGATTCAACAAGGTACTGGAAATATTCCTCAGAGATTTTGCTCCATATTGACATGATAGCATCACACAGTTGCTGCAGATTTGTCGGCTGCATATCCATGATGCCAATCTCCCCTTTCACCAGATCCAATAAGTGCTCTTTTGGATTTAGATCTGGTGACTGTGGAGGCCATTTAAGTACAGTGAACTCATTGTCATGTTCAAGAAAACAGATACATGAAATGATTCACGCTTTATGACATGACAAATTATCCTGGACACAATGCTTAGTTGGTACTAATGAGCCCAAAGTGTGCCAAGAAAATATCCGCTACGCCATTACAACAGCTGCCTGAAAGGCAGGATGGATCCATGCTTTCATGTTGTTTACACCAAATTCTGACCCAACCATGCAAATGTCGCAGCAGAAATTAAGACTCATCAGATCAGGCAACGTTTTTTCAATCTTTTACTGTCCAATTTTTGTGAGCCTGTGTGAATTGTAGCCTCAGTTTCCTGTTCTTAGCCAGAGCAGCCCGCCTGGCACCAACAACCATGCCACATTCAAAGTCACTTAAATCACCTTTCCTCCCCATTCTGAGGCTCGGTTTGAACTGCAGCAGATCGTCTTGACCATGTCTACATGCTCAACTGCATTGAGTTGCTGACACATGATTGGCTGATTAGAAACTTGCGTTAACGAACACCTAATTTGGTGTACCTAATTAAGTGGCCGGTGAGTGTATGTAGATAGTAAGTGCATTGTACCAATGCTTATTTTCAATGTATGTGCATTGTAGTCAATGTGACCTAAAATGAAGTGTAACTGTTTAAATCTATATTGATCTTGCAATCAGATAGCCAAGTTGCTTAAGTGGCTATAAACAAATAAACGTTCATGGAAATTTTGGAAAAGTCATGGAAATTATTTGAACAAATATCTGTATACTTGAATATAGGTTAGTTGTGTTTACTTCTCTTCTGTCCTTGGCCAAAAACATGCTCTCACATTATTATATATATTAATATATGAATATAAAAATATTTAAAACTAAAAATATTTAAAATTAATAGATTAAATTTTAACTAAATAGGATGTTGTGTGTTTTATGATGTGCTGTAATGCATTTGAGGTGCACTGTTTTTCTTGTTATTTACCACATATATGTAGAGATTACATAAAGCATTAGGTCTTGAAAGTTTACTTAAGTCTTGAAAAAGTCAGGGAGTTTTAGTAGCAAAATTGTTCCTGATTCCTTAATAAATTAACATATTTTCTATCTTGTCCAGGTGACTCTCTCAGCCAGGCTGTAGACTTCCTGCCTCTGCTCATTCAGACGGTGGAGAAAGCTGCAGCTCAGAATACCCAGCATACACTGCTGTCTGAGGCCGTGGCTGCATCTGTGCTGCTCTGTCGGCTCTCTGTGCTGGACTCTGTGTCTGGTGAGCTTTACATCTACACCTGTCCTGATCACTACATAAAGAAGACCCCCATTCAGTGTTTGTTCTGCAAAATATCCAATAGTATATTATTGGACTGTCCTGCTTATGAAAAAAAATCACTTAAACATATTCAGCAAAGTTTTACCAAGAAAGCTTTTAAAATTATCATCACATATTAAGCAGTTAAACTCTGCTGTTTTTTTGGGATTTCCGATTGGATTTTGCCTAGCCAAATTTAAAAGCTTCCCAAATCCACATGCAGAGGTGTAAATGCACAAATTTGGTATAATTTTAAAGAAAACCCTTTGCATTTTCATAAAACACTATTGAAAGTGTTTAACATAGCTGTACGTGTTGTCTGTGTTATAATAAACACCAAAAAAGGCGCTTTTTGTATTTTTTTTTTATAAACTCAAATTTGAAAGTGTAGCTTTTAGGTTCTGTGTGGTCTAGCGTGCTGTAATTAATGTTGGTGGTTCCTGCACATGTCTGTAATCATAGGAAAAAAGAAAGATGTCTTCACCATAATCTATGCAAAAGTTATTGTATTCCAACTGATGAGAGGTGCTGTACAAGCCACAGGGATCGATCATTGTTTTCATATTTCACTATTCTTTTGTTTGATCAAACATAATTCACTGTGTTTTGAGCACGTCAGACATATAAAAGAATTACTTATGCACATCAGCTCAAAAACAGAGGAGAAAAGGTCCTGAAGCACACAGCATAAGGTTAGAGATGACTATCTGGGGCTGCTTAGTGATCAAAAATGTATTATTTTCATTTCTGCGCCATGGAAACACCGTGATTCATTCAACAACTGTTTGATATGTGAATATAATTCAGAAAAAAGAATGCTAGAACTGTATGAGCACCGGCAAGAGCTTTCATTTGAGCTATAACTCGTACATTTGTCATATTGAATATATAAATGAACCAATGTAAAATACCTAGCTCGGGTATGCAAAATACTGTGTATTTAAGTGTAAATAACTTTTGTACAGTAGAATAAAAATCAAAGTGATGCATATGTGCATAAAATATAGATTCTACACTTTCAAACGAAACCACTGACGGGAGTCTGGTGCAATTCTAGCCCTTTAAATCTTAAAGTGAAAGTTGATGACGTCATGGACCTGGTACCGGGTTCGCAGAGTTGAACTGGTTAACGTTAAAAAAATGATCAGATTAATCATTTAATAAACATTCATTTTTGGAAAAATTTTTTGTTTTAATTTTTAATGCCCTAGACCAGGGGTCTCAAACTCGCGGCCCGCGGGCCATTTGCGGCCCTCAGTGCAATATTTTGTGGCCCGCGCCGACCGCTGTACACTGACAGAATCAGCGGAGCGGGGAGAGAGAGCGCTTCCAGCTCCGCTGATTCTATCCGTACACAGCGGTCACTGGCATTCCCCGCCCGCCGTGTAAACAAAGGAGCGGGGATGCCGGTGACGTCACCACGCACCCCGCCCCTTTGTTAGACGCTGTGACGGGCGGGAAGAAGCAAGGTAAGCTGTTCCCGCCCCTGCCTGCCACTTAGCTCCATCCTGCATCTTACAGGGCTCGAAATTGCGACCATTTTGGTCGCATATGCGCCCGAAAATTAATCTATGCGACCTCATAATATATTTGGGCGCATTAGTGCGACTGCTGATAATGGTTGTAGTGCGACCTGTTTTGATTTTTTGTAAAAACATGCTGAATCGCTCTTCCCTGCCGCTATATTGGTTCATATTAGCTGTCAATCACTCAAGGTATTCCGCTGTCAGATGACAGGGAAGGAGCTTTTATGACCACGGGAAATGCAAACGGCAGAAGAGTAAAAATTGAGGTGCAGATGAGAGCGATCATGACACGTCACGTGGTGAATAATGATCCACCAGCTGAGATCAATCGAGTACGCGCTTCATGGAAAAGGTGCCCGCATCTCCATGTGTTGCGTTCACTGCGTGTTCAGCGCAAATGTCCGCTAAAAGTCAAATCTAATACTGTACATATCATTGCCAAAGAAGCTCGCATTTACTAAATTTACACTGAAACTGCGTCTCATAACAAACAGCGGTAATCCGCCGGTGGTCATCGCAAGAATCCTGCTCTGCCTGCTCATAAATTGGGTCGGCTGACTCGCCTGCTTTTCCACTAACACAGAAAAATGAAAATCAGCTCAGACTGAACCTTTAAATTGACACAAACTGAAACCAAATCTTTTAAAGAGTGATAGAAGTGAGACTTTCTTTCTTTTGTCTATTCTTTTTTGAGGTGTATATTATTTTTATTTTTTTATTTATTTACTGATGACTGCTTTGCAGCTTTCATCATTGAATTGAATGATTTATTATAATCTTTTGTTTGTTTTGTAGCAGAAATATTATTTATTAAATTGACATGCATATAAAAACAGCAGTACAAAATAAATATTTCTTACTGCAATGCTTCATTTTTGTTTGATGCAAACTATACAATTATTTTTCATAAAGTAACAATTTTTATAGCAGATAACCTACATTCATGCACATTCAAGGCAGTATCATAATGAGAAATGTAATTCATTTTTACTATTATTGTCATTTTCATCATCATTAATATTCTATAATTATTAGACATTCATTTTGGAATTATTGCACACAAATATCAATGTCTTCGCAGCATTAGTTAGATAGTTTTTTCTGGTTTTTATCAGTCCTATTGATGTTGTTTTAAAATACAATAAATCCCTTAAAAAGCAATTTGCAGCGGTGCTCAATCATTTTTGGTGGATGCTCCTAAATTTATTTTGGTGCTCCTAAATATTTGAAGTTGGGAGCACCGGTGCTACCAAGTAAAAAAGTTAATTTCGAGCCCTGTCTTATATATATTATAGGTAGATACAGACTGGTACAGACTGATGTGACTGGAGTGGGGTGGGGGTGTTTTATTTATACATATATACGCCTTTTTTTAGGTGAGGGAATGGAAGTTTGAGTGAGTTCCCCCACTTTTTTCCCTAAGACTAGGCCTTTTTGGGAGCACATATTTGTGTGAGAAGTTATTCTCCACCTTGAACTTCAATAAGTCAAAGTACAGGTCTAGACTTAATAATGATCATCTTCAAGCCATACTGAGGGTCTCAACTGCTTCCGCTCTAAAGCCAAATGTGGTTCAGATTTGTGAGAAGAAGCGCTGTCAAGTCTCTGGCAGCAAGGAGTAGGCAAAAGATGCCATGTTCAGAAGAACTGTTCATAATCTTCACTCAATGTTCTATTAATGTTCAGGACACTTCATGTTCAGAAGAAATAATTAAAACTGTTAAAAATGACATTTGAGGACTTTTTTTTGTGAAATCCCTTATGCGGCCCAGCCTCACCCAGACTTTGCCTCCTGCGGCCCCCAGGTAAATTGAGTTTGAGACCCCTGCCCTAGACACTACAGACAATAATAATAGCAGTTATTTCATGATTATCCACACAGAGACTCTTATCGCGCCCCTATATATATTTTTGGTGACATTTGTCTTTGTTCATCTGCATTCAGAAGCGAAGCTGACGTCCTTCTGGAACCTGATCCTGGATGAGAAGAAGCCTTTGTTCACCACTGAGAAGTTCCTCTCTCAGGCCAGTGAAGAAGGTCAGAAACTCACTGCTATTTAATTATTTCATTTGTTTTCACCAAACACGACGTGACATGACAGACACATTTAAATCAGGGGTCACCAACCTTTTTGAAACTGAGAGCTACTTCATGGGTACTGATTAATGTGAAGGGCTATTAGTTTGATACACACTTCTCAAATAACAAATTTGCTCAGTTTACTTTTAATAATATGCTATTATTAATAATTAATGATATTCATCTATGTGAAGACACTGATCATGTTAATGATTTCCCATTGTTGTCAACAATGATTTAACATTAAGTAGGAAACAGAGAAATATCAATATGCAACACTTTATTTCTATAAATCTCTGCAAATATTTACATTAAAAATTACTTTTACAATATTTTCACTAGCCACTAACAATTATTTTTGTCAATATACTATTTATCAGTTTCACATCAATAATTTACAGAATCATTTCAGTATACATGTGTACATTCTTTTCTAACCACCCACCACCCCTTTCCCACCCTCACAAGACAGAACACTTAAATAGACATACTTGTGAGACATCGAGCTGATGCCTAAAGTGTCATACTTTTCCATCCGTATTTTCAGTCAATGTAACATCCAAATTATTCATGTATTCAATACATTTGTTGTTGGTTTGCACCAAGTCTCAGTTCTGACTTTCATTTTCAAACCATTTGCTAGTTATTAATATTTCATGATCTGATGAGAACCATCTGCTGCTGCTTTCAGTAGTGTGGTGATACATGTCAAATATAATGCTATTCAAATGCACATTGGCAGCATTTAACAGAGTAAGGCTACGTTCACACTGCAGGCAAACGTGGCATGAATCTGATTTTCCCCCCCTCATGTGAGTCAGGTGATGACAGTGTGAACAGCCCAAACTGCATGGAATCTGATCTTTTCAGGTCAGATCTGTGGCACTTTCATATGTAGTCTTAAATCAGACACAGATCTGATATTCTGCAATGCGACCGCAGTGTGAACGGTTATGTCGGATTTCATGTGACTTTTACGTAATCTTTGAGTGACATGCTTCATCATTCTGTGCTGCAAACATCCTCTACTCCTCAGCAGCACGGTAGAAAGGCACACAGGGCGATTACAGTACCACTGAAAGTTGGTTGTTCATGTTGAAAAAGATTTTAAAAGGTATAACTGGTGCTTGTTACTTATCTGGTTAACGATTGAGGCACGGGTTGATCGCGAAGCCGAAAAGCATTGTGGGTGCAAATGAGGAAGAACTTTCTCTCCGAGAGAAAAAAGGGCAGGTGCTCGAGCACCCAAACCCCCCCTTCTGCACGTGTCTGCTGTTTATAACGAAGTAAAATTAAACTCCACAAACAGAGATAAACCAACTCCGCCTTCACAGCTCAGTCTGCGGCTGCTCATTAACCCTTGATGAGTTCACTACACCGGTGGTCAGAGCGCCATGCACAGCGCTTTATAAATCACAAACGATCAGTGTTTTTTTTTTTTTATCACAGGAGACTTATTTTAGATCTCAAATGCCGAAATACACATTAGTAGTAGCAGAACAATCATTTACAGTTCTTGAATTACACCACGGTTGTCTGTGAAAAGGGTAATAATAATATAAGCATGATCTGACAACGTGCTTACTCATGCAGCACTCACGTGTGTGGATAATTAGACATTTTGTGCTCTCTGTAAAGCAATTTTGCACCTGCGGGTCAGTTTGGGACTATGATCTGTTCACACTGCAAATCTGATATTGGCCACATTTATAAGAGCAGTGTGAACAGCCATGCAAAAAAAATCATATTTGAGAAAAAATCAGATTTGAGCACTAAGCCTCGCAGTGTGAACGTAGCCTAAAACACAGAATCTGTACCTGAGGTGATCATTGTCATTATGGTATTTTGTTGCAACGTCTCAGCAATGGTAACCGCTTATAAAATTGATGTTTTGTGCATCACTCTCGAAGATGGTTGAGACAAAAACTTGTTTTAACATGGAGAAAGATACCCTTTATCATGTGTAGTTAGGACATGGTGAACATTTAGTTCAGGAGAATATAGGAGAGTATTTAACATAACAAATGTTTACTCTTTTAATATGACTAACCATCTTTTTATATTTATCTAATACTTTTGCTAAGTTTTCTGCTTTCTTAACCCTGATTGTCTTTTACTCACAGCCCTTTGCACCGTTCTACTGCTCTGTGAAAGACTGTTCCTGGATCAGCCACAAAGACTCAACAACAGCAAGTCTCAGTGAGTCACTGAAGTCTTTTATTTACGCGATCATTTTTAAGAGGTGATTTATTAGTGCAATGCAAAGGCATCATTAATCCATCTTTAGTGTCTCAGTTTTATTTTTTGTGTTATCTTTGGCCCGGTTTCACAGACAGGGCTTACACCAGCCAGGATTAGAAAGAAACATCACTGGTGTATATCTTGAGATAAAACAAAAGCACTGATATATTTAAAAATCAATCAGTGCAATTTTATTTTAGTTGAAACAGCTCAGACTTACATTTGAGTCTATGACTAGGCTTAAGCCTTGTCTGTGAAACCAGGGGATAAATGTTTTAATATGTATTCATACATATCTTTAGTTAAAAAAAAGAATTGTATATTGATTTGTTGATTTTAGTAATTGTTGTCGTTTTTGCTGCACTCTATCATTACATGTTTTTTTTTCAGCTTTAAGTTATTTTGACATGACACAGTTATTATTAGGAATGCGACAATACAGTTAGCCCACGGTTCAATACATCCCTCGGTTTTTTAACACAGTTTTCAGTTCGGTTCTCATGGCTTGACACATTTTTTTTATTCTATAGGCAATAGGAACAGTAAGAGGTTAAGGAGAAAAAAATTAAAACGATTTATTGCAATACTCATTTTGTTTTACTTAAAAGCCAAGAAAAGTACACTAGTTCCTGGTGTATTGTATAAAAAAAACACAGAAATCTCACAGCTGCTGGTAGCTCATGGACAAACTGGAGAACACATGAAATCCTACACTTTGAAAATAAACACACATGTGAAGTTAATAAAGATAAATTGGCCATTTCAAATAAACATATTTGTACTTTAGTAAAGATAAATAAACCATCTTAACTATCTCTGTGCTGAAAAAATGCGAGACTGAAGTCTGTAACGCGGATCGAGAGCTTTTATAAGATGACAAAAGCCCACATCTCCAATCACCAAAAACGGCTGCAAATCTTAAGCAAAAAATACCCGGACTGCCTTGTTATTTTATGTGTCTCTCGGTAGCCAGTTGGGTATGTTTGCTTGAAAGATTCAGCTTCTCTGCTATGCTGCCTTCAGACAGTGATATTGCTGGGTGATGGCCCTGCAGATGTGCAGTCATGGTTATACGTTTAAGACAATGCTTGCACACAGTTATTTTTTATTCACCGTTTTTTCTTTTATTGGCATTATACTTACCGGCAAAACCGAAATGTCCTCCCACCGCAGATTTGAAAGACGCCGGCGGTTTCTCGTACTGTTGCCTCAGCCTCACTTCACCGCCGCTCGCCATGTTAGAGTGTGTAATGATGGTCAAGCGCCCCCTAACTTTAGAACATAGTGATTGGATATTTACTCGCGGGGAGGAGTTTCCTCATCTCAGCTTATAGACTTACAGGCACACACAATCAATTCAGGGAGATATGAAACGCACATAAATTATTAAAACACAAAACCGAGAAAACTGCAATTCACAAGCGCATATTGAATCGTGGAGGTTGTACCGAACAGTTCAATATTATATTGAGAACTGTGGCATCCCTAGTTATTACGGTTAATTTCAGTTTGTTGCAAAGGCTAAACTATACCTACAGAAGGGTTTTATTTCAGCAGAAGAACAAACATTTTTAGGTAGCTAATAATGATCACACTGACAAATACAGTAAACTATTTCAGAGAATATTATCATTTAATTAGAATTGAAGTTACATCAGACAGAAAATGAGCACATTTTAATGAAATATTTTCAATATTTTTAATCATACACTGTAAAAAATATCTGTAAATCAGCAGTTTTCTGTATTTTGTGATTCATATTTTCATTTATTTTCCCCTGTTTATGATTTAAATTGCATTATGATATCTTGATCAATCTTCCAGCAAATTCTAACCTTGGAAAGTTGGAAAAAGTGACTTTTATGAACATTTTGAATAGTTTGAAGGGATATGTTGTCTAGGTTGGTGTTGTATATTATGCTACAAAAACCTTGTAATAAACCGCCAGCACATTTTCTGTTATGTCACAGACTTATTTCTCTAGATATTATTTCTTACATGCAATATATTATTTTAAACAACTAAAATGTGAATAAAAGTCTTAACTTTGTTAAACTGCGAAGTTGAATTTACAACATCAAAAAGTTGACAGAGCAGAGATCAACATCCCATAATGCTATTCACAACCGTAAATAAATGGAAAACACTGGTGAATCAGGAAATACAGATATTTTTGACAGTGCACAGTCATGTAGATTGTGAAGTTTTTCACTGTTAAGCCAAACCTTTACTTCATGTGTGTTGACTGAAAGTGTTCTGTCTGCTGTCCTCAGGATGTACCATCAGGCCACAGTGATGCCGCTGCTGTCCCGTCTGTGGCCCGTACGCAAACGCGCTCAGCAAACAGTGAAGAAGCTCCTGTCCTCGCTGGGTGGATCCAGTCTGGCCCACGGCCTTCTGGCAGAACTGCGTGTAGTTATTAACAAACACAAGGTGCAGGATGAACTTTGCTTGAATGATAAGAGTTTTGTGATGTAACAATATTGATTGATTCATTGATTAAATTTTTTTTGCAATTTTTTTTTTTTTTTACATTTATTTTGAATTTAAAAAAGTTTTATTTGAAAATATAAAGTATAAACAAAAATGATTTGACCATAGCTTTGTCATTTTATGCTACATAACATGCATGTATAAATAACTATTATATGACAGACTCAAATGTACTCTCTGCCAGCAGGTGGCGCTTACAGAATAGTAGGAATGACTTGTTTTAGTGCTGATGCAGAAATCAACTAATAAAAAAATAACAATAAAACCTTTTCTGAAGATGAAGGGTTCACCTTCTAGATACTTGAATAAAACCTCCCACTTGAAATTCAGCAATGAATGAACAGTGTTTCTGTGTTCTGAATGCGCTCATGTTTCTATCTGTGGTCTCAGATTCTGCCCGCAGACGTGCTGTATACAGAGACGGGTGAGCTGACTGAGACGGGCCGCTCGTATGTGTCTCCGCGGGTCCTGCAGGAGGCTTTGAGTGTCATCTGCTCAGTTGCGGCCCAGTGGAACGCCCCGGATGAGACAGAGAAACTGGCCCTGGAGATTCTCATCGTTACCCATCATCCCTCTATCGGTGCGTTTCACTCTAAAGCCTGGTTTATACTTCTGTGTCAAGTGATCAGCGTAACCCATGGCGCTTACAACGCCCGTAGCTGTGCATTTATACTTCTGCGCGCTGTCTCTGTTGGTCTGCATCAACACTTCTGAAACGCTAGTTGGCAGTGAGGTGTTAATGCTCCTCTGTGTCGAGTTTCTTCTCTGGTCATTTGCTTTTTTTGAACACTTTCTGAATGTACAAGTGGCTCAAACTTGCTTTTGAGGCAGGAACCGGCAGACGTGCAACAACTTTAGCTATGAGGTAAACACAGAACAAAACTTTCCATCCAGAGCTCCTTCACGGGACTCCACACTTGTAAACAATCGCTCTATCGGGCTTGCGCCGTTCGTGTGGCTCTCGGCCCCGCCCAGACTGGTCAGTGCTACCAAGCCGACCAATCACAGAGCTTCCCCTACGCATCGTTGCGATGTGTAGTTACATTTTTTGAGATGTGCACGTCAGCGACGCCGACGGCCATGGTGTAGGACTATGCGACAATGCGTAGACTGCGCCGTAGCATATGCGTGCGCTTGACGCAGAAGTATAAATCAGCCTTAAGTTGATGTGAATGTGAATGATGTGATGTGAATCTGTACTGGAATATTTTATAAATTAAATATCATAACTTTTATATAAACATTTTAGCTTTGAAGACATTTCTTCGTAAAAAGGTAATGAAATAAAAAAATGAAAAGTTTTTGGTATTCAATTTGTTTTTTATTATTGCTCTTTGTAATGGGGTGTTTTAATGTTACATTAAGAGCCTGTTCATCCTGGATATAGATTTGTTACTAAATTAACACTCTCACACATACATTCCAGTCATAAACAAAATCATTGAAACTTTAATTCTGGTTAAATTGTAGAGTTGGAAAGATGTATTTGTGCAGCTGTAGAAATAGGGAAATGTAGTTTAAGAATCGTTTAGGAATCGAATCAGAACATGAAGTCCCTAAAGATTCCCAT